GCTTCCAGGGGAGGGCTTGCTAAAAATCCTTGACTGAAACCCAAGTATTTATCGAGAGAGGTGGTTAGAGATGGAGTTGGAGCCACTATGCGTATTATTCCCATGGTTGTTACACGACAGCGAGATGTTTCAGCACTTCGATGATGAAGTACTGACGGGAAAGTAGCCGCTCAAGCGCCTTCCATCCCGACAAATGACTCAAGGTAAATTTTGTATAAAACTTACATAATACAATTGTTATATAAGTCGATTCTAATGCTAATGTCTTCCTTCTATTGTAGTGCTGATTGTGGGGCATATGCACTAAAATTTATTAAGTTTGACATGACCAACACCCCGATGGACGGCTTGAATGACGAAACAATGAGCAACTGTCGGGAGCGCTACGCTGTTGAGTGCTTCCATGGGCATATGAATCCCTTTTGACTGACCAGAACCCAATCCAAGTAATTGTTGTTGCAGTCATCAAAAGGTATGGAAGTTGGACTTCGAATTTTGTAGTTTATGTGATGTTGTCTTATTGGATTGTCTTGAATAATTGGATTGTCTTGAATTGGATCAACTAGTGTTGTTCGACGTCAGGCTGTTGATACTTGGGTTGTGGTGCTAATTCTGAATGTATGCAGAATAAATTTGGAGGATGAAGAAGTGGCTAAAGAGAATGATGAAGATGGGGGATGGGGGCTGCCGGCCCTGCTTTTTTTTTTTTTTTTTTGTATATAGGAGATTTATTTGTTGTACATAATGTTGTCATTGAATGTAATTGACATATTTCAGATTAATACAAAAGCAATTCAGTATTTCTCTCCCTCTGTTGAGTTTGAGTTTATTTAGTATTCTTGTTACATGGCATTAATGTGTTGATGCAATTAGGTTGTCAAATTCAGGAGAAAAGTTGGAAAAAAATATGTATTGCCCATGATCACTTAAGCGATATATAATCGACTACATATATCGCTTAAGCAATAAAGGGTTTTCCATAAAGGATCGCTTAATCGAGATGATAAATCGCTTAAGCAATCATGCAACTGGGCAGATCTTGAATCTGCCTCGGAAGCGATTGTAGATCGCTTAAGCGACCAAGGGTAAAAGCAAAGAATCGCTTAAGCGATACCATAAATCACTTAAGCGATCTGGACAGATCTTGATTCTGCCTTAGACTTGATTGCTTAAGCGGCCAAGGGTAAAAGCGAAGAATTGCTTAAGCGATATCATAAATCGCTTAAGCGATCGTGCACCTAGGCAGATCTTGATTTTGCTTCAGATTTGATTGCTTAAGCGATCACCAAGGGTAAAAGCGAAGAATCGCTTAAGTGATACCATAAATCGCTTAAGCAATCGTGCATCTGGACAGATCTTGATTTTACCTCGAACTTAATCGCTTAAGCGATCCATAATCGCTTAAGCGATCATGCATCTGGGCAGATCTTAATTCTGCCTTGGACTTAATCGCTTAAGCGACCAAGGGTAAAAGCAAAGCATCGCTTAAGCGATCGTGCATCTGCCTCGAACTTAATCGCTTAAGCGACCAAGGGTAAAAGTGAAGCATCGCTTAGGTGATCTTAAGACTTGCTTGTACATGATCGCTTAAGCGACGGTACCACATCGCTTAAGCGACTAAGGCTAAATACACAGGATTGCTTAAATGAGAAATGAGAAATGAGAAATGAAATCTCTTAAGCGATCCAGTGTATTCGAATTATTTTTATTGTCTTTCACAAGATCGCTTAAGCGATTAACACTATCGCTTAAGCGATGAAAGCTTATCAACACTGGATCGCTTAAGCGATTCCTTTTCTTTTTTTCTTTTTTTCTTTTTTTGGAATAGGTTGTCCCATATTGTGTGACGTTAATGTGAACTTCGGATGTTCACAACATCACATGATTATTGACGATAATGATACGCAACATCGGTTAGTAACACTTATAAAGGCCAATTAAGAAGGATTATTTGCAACCTAATTCCATCAACATATTAAAGTTACAGCTGTATGATATCTGGATGAATGTCTTAGTGCATTAGCATGACACGTTAGTAGAAACGTGCCTGATTTCATAAATATGGATGATGTATTTGAGAACAATTAATTGAAATTAGCTTCAATTTTGACTGTTCGATTAGTTCACTGGACCAGGATCTGTCTTGTGTTAATTGATTTGATTATTTATATCATTTAATCGATTTTTTTTAAATTAAATTAAATTATTTCTTTTACGTCTATATTAAACATATATGGTGTAGAATGTTTACGTCTATATTAAACATATATGGTGTACGATTAGTTCAGTGGACCAGGATCTGTCTTGTGTCAATTGATTTGATTATTTATATCACTTAATCAATTTTTTTTTAAATTAAATTAGTTTTTTTATGTCTATATTAAACATATAAGGTGTAGAATATTTATGTCTATGTTAATCATATATGGTGTATGATTAGTTCAGTGGTCTTGTGTCAATTGATTTGATTATTTATATCACTTAATCGATTTTCTTTAAATTAAATTATATTAAATTAAATTAGTTCTTTTACGTCTATATTAAACATATATGATGTAGAATGTTTATGTCTATATTAAATATATACAGTGTACGATTAGTTCAGTCGACCATGACCATGATTATATTTTAATTAAATTAGTTCTTTTACATCTATATTAAACATGGTCCATAAACTTGAAAAAGAAATATTGAAGTAAATTACCCTTAATCGCTTAAGCGATATAAGGTATCGATCCCGTCTATTTAGCCTTGGTCGTTTAAGAGATATGGAGATCCTATATATTTAGCCTTAGTCACTTAAGCAATAATAAATCGCTTAAGCGATTTTGTCAAAGGCAGAATAAAGGTCATCCGAGTACAGTAGATCGCTTAAGCGACCCAGTATGTTCAGAATTAGTCGCTTAAGCGATCACGTACAAGCGAGGATCAGGATCACTTAATCGACGCTTCACTTTTACCCTTGGTCATGTACAAGGCAGAATCAATATGTGCCCAGATGCACGATCACTTAAGCGATTTACTTTGTCGCTTAAGTGATTTACGCTTTTACCCTTGGTTGCTTAGGCGATACAAAATCACTTAAGCGATCAAGTCTGAGGCAGAATCAAGATCTGCCTAGATGCAAGATAGCTAAAGAGATTTAAAATCTCGCTTAAGCGATTCTTTGCTTTTACCCTTGGTCGCTTAAACGATCTACGATCCCTTAAGCGATCAAGTCTGAGGCAGAATCAAGATCTGTCCAGATGCATGATCGCTCAAGCGATTTACAATCTCGCTTATGCAATTCTTCGCTTTTACCCTTGGTCGCTTAAGCGATTCTAGATCGCTTAAGTGATTAAGCCCGATGCAGAATCAATATATGCCTAGATGCATGATCGCTTAAGCGATTCTTCGCTTTTACCCTTGGTCGATTAAGCGATACAAAATCGGTTAAGTGATCAAGTCCATGGCAGTATAAACATCTGTCCAGATGCACCATCGCTTAGGCGATCCTTTATGAAAAACCTTTTGTCGCTTAAGCGATATATGTAGTCGTTAATATATCGCTTAAGCGATCATGGGCAATAAATATTTTTTCCAGCTTTTCTCCTGAATTTTAACAAACTAAAATCACCAAAACATATTAATTCCATACTTTCTCTTGAATTTGACAACCTAATTGCATCAACACATCAACGCTATGTAACAAGAATACTAAATATAAATGATGATTTATTCAAGGTAACAATAAAATTTAAAACATAAAAAATTTAAAACAACAACTCTTCAATGGTTGGCCTTGGCAACTCTCTCGATTTCATCCTTCTTCGAACCTAATTTTCTAGATCTACATGTGATTGATTCTAGCAACTGCTTCTCTTGTGGCCAAATTGCATGCAAATTGAGCACTTATTCGTCCTCCAGGGAACCTTAGAGGCTGACGGAATACGCTTAACTCTTTTTGTCTCCTTTTCTGTCTTCTTGAATGGCGGATGGATGATAATGTCAGCCAACTCTGGTGGCACCACCTACTACTCTTCTGGAGGAACTGAATATATTGTTTTTGAATAAGCCAACATGTAGTGATTTGCCATATAGAGAGGGGAGCAAAGTTCTATGTAAATTCTTGAACCAAAATCCGGCTTCTGTTAGTGTTTTAGTGCTGTTAATGCATGAGGACAAGGTAAACGTTGAATGTCAAACACTTTACAATTACAAGTTTTACTAATAAGGTCAACTAGGGCATCTGGACCATTGTCGCACACGGTGAACTCTTGAGCATTAAGAGAATATGCAAACAAACGGAACAAGGGTTGTAGCAAAATTATCTGACTTTGCACGACGCTCATGGAATCACCATAACATTGTCCTTTGGATTGCATAAAAAATGGTAACTATTGGAAACTCTCTTTCTATTAACAACTTCGAATTTATAGACTTGGCTATGTTCGTGGTCATGACATCAAACCTTATTCCAGGAAAGTAAGCTATACTTCATCGCTCAAAACTAACATCATGCTCAAGATACTTAGCAATTCTATCATCCTTGATTCGGATTTGCCGAAAGTGTTCCTCGAACTCATTAACTTGATAAGTTTTTGCTGCCATGTATGTAGTATGTCTGAAGGAGGCCGGTACACTTAAACTTTTATTTTATGTTCTCACCAAAGTGCCTCATACAGAATGATATAACCCTGATATTGATCTTATTAAACTCTTTTCAGCTTGTAAGCATCATATATATATATATATATATATATATTTTTTTTTTTTTTTTTGAAAGAATTTTATTAGTAATTCATGTTATTAATATAATATTATTGGATATAACCCCGATATTGATCTTATTAAACTCTTTTCAGCTTTTAAGCATCATGTATTAGAATTAAGACACTATTTAAACTAAAACCACAGGTAATTATTTTGAGCAAAAAATTGGATTAAGATAGCATCATGGTCCTTTTGCGAGTGTATCTGGTTTGATATTTGTATTTGGATAAATTCAGATAATGAAAACTCATCTAATCTATACTAAGAGATAAAGACAGTTCATCAGTTAATATCAAAATCATAATTCTCACCTAAGACAATCCTAATCCTAATCCAAAATATCTCTATCCATTAAAATAATATCATTGCCAAAATACAGCGAGAGCCAAAACTAGAGCCAGTAATGACTGAGCCAAGCAAGGAAGCAGTGTGTGTGACTGGAGCCAACGGGTTCATCGGCTCATGGCTGGTCCAGACCCTTTTGACCACCGGCTACACTACCATTCACGCCACCATCTACCCTGGCTCTGACCCATCTCATCTCTTTACTCTCCAAGCTGCCTCCAAAGCCAACCTCAAAGTCTTCGAGGCTGACCTTCTAGATGACGTGGCAGTTTCAAGGGCAGTGGAGGGCTGCAAGGGGGTCTTCCACGTGGCATCTCCTTGTACCTTGGAAGATCCCCAGGATCCACAAAAGGAACTTGTGTTGCCTGCTGTACAAGGTACTCTTAATGTGTTGGAGGCTGCTAAGAAGTTCAAGGTGAGGCGTGTGGTGCTCACGAGCTCTATTTCTGCTCTTGTGCCTAACCCCGGTTGGCCTCAAGATAAAGTGTTTGATGAGACTTCGTGGACTGACCTTGATTATTGCAAGTCTCGTCAGGTATTCTTACAAACTGGGTAACCGTTTCTTTAATTGATTTTGGCTTAAAGTTGTGTTTTTTTTCAATGAATACTGGATAAAGTTTTGATTTTTATCTGTTTTAGTACGAGATTGCTGATTATCTTTTGATTGATCTAGTATTTAATTTAATTCTTGCTCTGTGAGATTATTGAAAGAAGTAAAGTTTTTTTTTTTTTTTTTTTTAATGGAGTAATGGTTAAAGTTCTGATTTTTATATTTTTGAAATGAGATAGCTGATTATGATTTGTTTTGTCTTGGTAGAAGTTCAAATGGGAATTCAATAGCAATGTATCACTTTTCTAAGCTTCTATGCTTTTGGTTTAGTGGTTACTTAAAATGATAACTCGGACCTGTCATTTGTCTTAATGTGCATCTGCATTGTATATTGGTGTCTCTGTTGTTTTGGTCTTCGTTAAGAAACGTTATACCATGTATATACTTTTTTGTGTGATTAAAACTACCCTGTCGGATTATAAGCTCCACTTTGTGAGGGTGTTTTATGCATGAACTGAGGTTGGCTTTGTGCTGCATTTGTTTTAATGTTGTTTGGCTATGGCAGAAATGGTATCCAGTGTCAAAGACATTGGCAGAGAAAGCAGCATGGGAATTTGCTGAGAAGAATGGGATTGATGTTGTGGCTATCCACCCAGCTACATGTCTAGGTCCACTTCTGCAACCTTATTTGAATGCGAGCTGTGCTGTGTTACAGCAGTTGTTGCAGGGTTCAAAAGATACTCAAGAGTATCACTGGTTGGGAGCTGTGCATGTCAAAGATGTTGCAAAGGCGCAAGTGTTGCTATTTGAGTCTCCTGCTGCTTCTGGTAGATATCTTTGCACCAATGGTATCTATCAGTTTGGTGAATTTGCTGAAAGAGTCTCCAAACTCTTCCCTAAATTTCCGGTTCACAGGTTTGTATCTCGTACACCCTTATGCTATGTATAGGGCTTGCTGTATGAAAAACAATATCCTAGTTACTTGTAATACAGACAAACAACACACGCATCCATAACTGAAAAGGTGCTATTCCCACTATATAATTTAGTGGCTGCTTGATGTGAAGTTTTGTAGTTGCCATTTCCAACTACTAGAAAAGATCCCAATCAAATATAATCAGAACATCCTACATTAAAGCTGATCTGGTAACCAATGTCTATAATTTGACCTGCTAGCACTTTTAATCTATGTTTGAATTATGATAATTTAGTCATTATAGTTTTTAGATACATTCTCTGATGTACTTGGATATGGTTAATTGTTGGTGGTGGTAACCCGGCAAAAGTGGCACTAATGGCAGGAGAGATCATGAGAATATTTGAAGCTTCATTCTTTGTTTTTAAGTCAGTGACATGGATTGGTATATATCCCTTGTCAGGGCCACATGCTTCAATTATATTGTTAACTTTTCAGATTCCTTGTCCAGAATGTTACTTTGTAGGAATTTAGGTTTGCTGCCTATTTAGTGGTCGCTTACCCTCATCATCTCTTCAACATTGAAACTATTGACAAGACCATCTTAAGCGTCTAATAGGGGAAATTAAATTTTTTTGTTCCTTTTTTTATGGTAAAACAAAAGTGGGGAAGAATTGAAAAATAATATAACTTGGAAAGCAACACTAGAGTTCTCATTTATAATGGCCTTGGTGGAGAATTAGTCATATATTTTGAGCTTTAGATAATCTATAGATTCAAACATGGTGACCCTAGTTGGGGGTCATTATTGCACTCTATGTGGTGCACAGGTTGACAGAAATTCAAGTTTATCACTTACATGATCATGACTTTCTAGTGCCGCCTATCTTGTCATCTTGCTTCCTACTCTTTGTAATTGTCCTGTCATGGTGGCTCCCCTGCAGAAAGATAGGAGCTTCTTTAGTTGGAAGTTTGTTTCTTTCAAATATAATGTACCTCAAGTATTTTCACTTAATTTTTTCAACACGCTTTCTTTTTCTAGGATTTAAAGAGTCTTCCTTTATTGCTTATACGTGTCCACTTAAACTTAGTGGAGCTTTTCTTTTACTTCTGGTCCAATGGAGCTCCACTTCAGTTTTGAATGGCTATCATACAACAAAAGATTCCTCTTCAGATAATTCTGCCAGATTTTTTATTTTGTGTAGTATCGGATGCTCTCTATTTGGCCTTGTTGAACAAGCTTTACATTCTAGATGTGGTCCTGGAGTTCTTTTGAAGCTTCGATGTGTCATTATACTTTCATGATTTTTATTGATCCATCATAGTTCAGATTGATAGATCACATAAAGATACTGCTTTTTAAAAAGTTAAAGAAGACAAACCTAAAGATAAATTGTTCCGTATACTATTTCTTGCTTTAATACTCATTACACGGGTATTACTTGATTACGCAAATTACTCTGCACACTGTTACTGTTCGTGTCTCAAGTAATACCTTGTTACCATTGGCTTCCTCTCTGGATTCGTGCTGCTGGTGAATAGTGAATAAGCTATAAAATGTTTAAATTTTAAACATGATGTGCATCAAATCAATGATTTTCTTCCTTTTGCTTCTTGTGGGCCTCCTTATGGTTCCAAATTGGATTAATCTTATCATTACTAATCATTGAATGTATTTTCAACTAATTTGTTGATTCATTACTTGTCATTTATCATTGTTTTGAGATGAAGTTTCATTATTTTCAAAAAAATGCTTCCATGATCTGTTGTTGTATAGATTGACATGAGAATAAATTCCTTTATATCTCAAGGAATTCAAGAGAAATGCCAGTTGCTGATGTGTGTCTCAAAGAAACAGGACAGCCTGGAGGTCTAGTTATACATGAACCAAAAAATAAAGAAATAATGTATGGAGCATCTAGAAGTTATCATTGTTATTATTGGCCATTTTGAACTTTCTCATTCTTTGTTAGGACCTTTATATAACTTTCTCGATTTTGATAATAATTTCTTCCTCTTTTGCCTTCAACCGCAAAGGCGTTGCGAGACTCTTCTTTTTTCTTTATACATGTTAATTTGTATGAACAGATAATTTTTGTCGAGAGAGAGGGTGCTTGCCCCTCCTTTGAGTTTACGCTCACATTGATATTCCTGTTCACTCTTGTAACTTTATATCGTGTAGTATTCCAAAATTTATATCCTAGCTGATGTATATTTTTTTCTGGCATTGATGTGTAGATATGAAAGTTTTATATTTTTCTTTTGTTTCGTTAAATATGAAATCATTGTACAGATTCAATGGGGAAACTCAACCAGGTCTGGTTTCTTGCAAAGATGCAGCCAAGAGATTAATGAATCTGGGACTTGTTTTCACACAAGTTGAAGATGCTGTTTCTGAGACAGTTGAAAGTCTTAAAGCTAAAGGCTGCCTGGTGCAGAAAATGTCACATTCTTAAGCCGTTTTCTCTTTTATTTTTGTGGGTTGAGGTGGGGACCTGTGTTTTGATTACTCAAGATCTTTTCTGATTCATTTCACAATGTAATTAGTTGTCAGCAATAATGAAAATAATAAAAACATGTCCGTTTTCTGATAAATTAATCCCTCTCTTTCATCATTCATCTCTCTTTAAATCTTCCAAAGGAAACTTTATTCCTTGATCTTATTATTGCTACCTAAAAAGCAATGTAATATTTTAAGTAATCTGATCATGAACCTTTGTTGTAACTTCTGCAATCCAATGAATCGTGAGTTCCAAGAAAATTAAACTCTCTTTTGTGTCTTCTAGTTTTCCATAACATTATCCTGCAACCATGTGAAATTCAGCAGAATGGGTCCAACATTCTGTCTGCCATTTTGTAGTAAACCATTAAAGATTAAATTATCTCCTCAAATCAAGTATGAATCTGTCTACTAGATATTGAGGATAAATCTGTGATTTCAGAATCACTCTACCTAATTTTATTAATCGAAATAACATGGTTTTACAAGAGATGCATCATTTGCATAATTGGTTAAGCTTTATTCTTGGTTGTATAACACTCGAACTATTGAAGTTTTGGATTTACTCAATAATACTAGCTAAACCATTAAAGTGTACCAAAGTTATACATGCATATTATAGCGACTCATAGTTTAGGACTCATGCATGTGCCAATAAAGAATTGAGCCTATGTTAAAACACTGTTAATACATGCATGTATTTACATTTCACACTTTGAGGTCGTTCCAATATATTTAAAGTTCACACCTTTAGGTCGTCTCAATATATCTACAATTTACACCTTAAGGTTATCCCAGTTTATTTGTAGTTCACATATTGAGGTCATCGTAATATATTTACAATTTATACCTTGATGTTGTCCAGTGTATCTACAATTCACACCTTGAAGTCGTTCTATTATATTTAGTTATTTACAGTTCACATCTTCAAGTTGTCCTAGCGAATTTACAATTCACACGTTGAGATCGTCCATTCCAGATTAATGCTCTAGGGGAAATAATACTTTACTACTACTTACAGAGAGAGGGAGAGAGAGAGAGAGAGAGAGAGAGAGACCTCAAAAGCAAACAGGTTGAGGCCAAGGATTGCCACCCTGATGCAAATAAAGAAAGCCACGGCACGTGATAAGGTGACCTTACGAAGCTGTTTGAATAGTCTTTGTAATCAGGCAAGTTTATTAGTTAATCTACTGTGTTGAAGCCCCTCTCTAGTAGTCTTTGTATTGGTTCTCGGTTATTTTCCCATTTTCTCTCTTGTTTTGAAAAGCCACCAACACTCCATGTGCATCATCTTCCCTACCCTTCCTTCTTCCTTCTTTTTTTCCAAGCAAAGAATCTCTCTTTTATCTCCAAACAGAAGAAAGAGAGTCTTGCACTTCTAATCATGGACCTGATCTTCTGGCATTCCATGTGCTTCAATCACTTCACCCCACTTCCCACTATTTTACTTCCCCTCCTTTTAACCATTCTTTAACCTCTCCTCTTCAATATATATAACGCCATCCAGGCACTCGTTACGTCTCCTGACTAGGTGTCATCCTTATTATTATTATTATTATTTTCACAAAATAAATTTTCTTGTATCGCCGAGGCTCTCAAAATGAACAGTCCAACACCTTGCAGCAGGTCCTGGTGAGTATACATATATCTATGCTTTTTAGTACTGTTTTGGGTTTTCATTCTTACTTTGCTTTGGAATTTGTGAAGGTCTATAAGTGAAGATTCATTGAAAAGATATGTGCACTTTGCAAGCGAGAGTTGCATACAGGAGTTGCTATCAGCTTCAGACTCAAACAGGTTTGGAAATGGAAATGATGGGTGGAAAATTCTTACTCTTGACAATGGAGTTGAAATTTCCAAAAGAAGATCAGGGTCATTTCACACTTTTAGAAGCAGGTGGCTGCTGAAATCAGTCTCTCCCCAGCAATTCATCACCGTTGCAAATGCCATAGATGCTGCCAAGGTGACCAATTCATGCCCTTACTTATGAAAATTAATCAATGAAGGCTATTAATTTGTGGAGCTATATAAATATTGAAAAAAATAATAATAAAAAAGAATTAATCTGTCTGGTGGATATTGGTTATAGTACAATTTTAGTTACATATAGATACAAAGTGAGTTGGATTATGGTCCAAGGACTTGAAAAGATGAGTTTTGTCCTTAGCATTTATGTGATTCATTTCTTTTTATGTTTAGTTGTCTTTATCAGCATGACAAAATATACAGCTACGTTGATTCCATTGTGCAAAAATATTTATGGCATTTTATTTGTTCTGTATTAGCTCTTGGAATTATTCACAATCACAGTATGTTACAGGGATAACGCTTCCTATTCATCTGAACCATTAGATCATAATTTAACTGATTTCTGGATTATTATTCAAGGGTCCAGATGAGGAAAATGTTAGCTTTATCAAAATATTCTTTTAACAAAGGAGTAATTTTTTTTTGGACCAGCAATGGGATGGTGATCTAGTGGAAGCAAAGTACATAAAAGATCTTGAAGATAATCTCAGTATAATTCGTCTCAGATTCGGGGAGAACTCGAAACCTCTTTTCAGAAACAGAGAATTCATCGTCTATGAACGACGCGAAACGATGGAAGATGGCACTCTTGTAAGGACTAGACGCAGAATTTTAGTGCTTGATCATACAAAAAAGATTGGAAAAATGTTAAGGATTTAATTAGAGTGTGCTGAAATTGGGGGTTGCAGGTGGTTGCAGTAGCTTCACTGCCAAAAGAGATAGCTGCTGGATTGCATCCAAAGCAAAACAATGCAATAAGGGGACTTTTGCTTCAATCAGGATGGGTTGTGGAGAAGCTTGAAGATGACTCATGTATGGTCACTTATGTTGTTCAGGTATTAATAATTTAACCGAGCTTCATTAAATGATAATTGAGTTCATTGTGCTCGACATATTGATGACATTATTATTCGGTGTACTGATTTGTTGAGTACCATCAAACGCTATGCTGAAAAAAGATATAAGTAAGAGCGTTCAACAACACTCAACAATCATGTTATCGAATATGTCAAACATCCTTTACTCAATAGTAAAGATACTGTTAAAAATACCACAAATTAAACGATTATTTTCAACTATTTTTTTTTTTTTTTTTTTTTTTTTTCAGTTAGATCCTGCAGGATGGGTGCCAAAGTGCTTTGTGAATCGGCTAAACACAAAACTGGTTATGATCATTGAAAACCTTAGGACGCTAGCAGAAGCTTGTCCAACAAATGGTGTGACTGTGAGTACACAAGAATGAAACTCTCTGTAAAGTTGTGAAAAATTTCAAGATATAGTAATGTTGATAGTGATGAAAATGATTTAAACTCTCTCTATTAATTTCTCTTCAAGTTCTACCTACTTGGAAATTGGAATTATGCTTTGCTGGTATAAGTTAAGTGTGGTCCTAATTAATATTAATTATCATTAAACTCAACATGGTGAAGATCAAAATTAATGAATAATTTTAATATTTCAACTTCTATGTGTGAGTTGTAAAGCTGTCTATTTTATGTTGAAGATAAAGAATTGTGGTCAAACTGGGCTCTGAAGATTTTAATGTGTTGAAGGATCTGATCCTAAATTGTTAAATGACCCTGCCATTGTGCCCTGAGATGATGCTGAGATCATACTCACCTAACACTATCTGTTTTAATGATCTTTCAGTAACTGGACCTTTTTGATTTGAATCCTGGCATCATCCACGGCCCAAAAAAAATTAGGATTCTCGTCTGAAATGAGAAAATTTGATTGAATTTTTATCGTTTTGTGTTAGATAACCTTCTATCAACATCATCTAAGAAGGTTTTGATCTTAATAAAACGTGAGCATGAACATTTGTGAGAGAGACGATACTTTTATCTCTAAGGTTTGGATTGCATTGAATCTGATAGAAAAGATGACAGCAGAAATAAAACTTACCAAAGTTCTGAGGAGCAAGTGATTAATGGAACATATAATAATAACATTAAATTTCATGATGTGAACTTTCCATTGAAACATGACATGTGACAACAGCCAACATGGAGGAGGCAAGCTGCCTGCTTTGATTGCTTGAAATGCAATGAAGAAATCTATATCCTTAACTGGTTTTTATATTTAATTCATAACCATTTACTAGATTTGTGCTCCATCTGCATTGAAAATATATTAATTTTTCTTGCCTGGTTCCAATGTGTCAACCCTTATTATAATATTACAATAAATAAATGCAAAAATCCCACAACTAGGGTTATGATCTTGATGACTATTGCAACTAACATCTTAATGACAAGCTGGACTGAACTTCAAGGTTTCACTAGAATGAATGACTGAACTTCAAGGTTCGCCTAATCAAGTTCAGATCTTGTAAAAAATTTCAGGTGCAGATTTAAAGTTTGATCTGTATAAAAATAAGTGTACGTAAAATCGTCTATAACATCTCGGGCCTCGGCTTTAACTAAGTAAATATTGTCCGATTAAGTTTTAGACCACTAAGAATTTGTTTATGAGTTTCATGTAAGATCTGGAAACACTTAATTTTCAGTCACAATTTTAGTGAGATCCAAAGTACATAGGAAATGACTTGCTTGTAAAATCATCAAGAAGAAAAGAAGATATTTCTCTTGAGGTGAGAACTTTTGACTCTAAGTCAAATGCCTTCCATAATCAAACTTAGAATAGTATTATTTGTCTCATAAGTTTCTTTTTAATTTTTTAAACCTTGACCAAATAACGAAAATTTTTAAGCAGATAAAGGAAAAAAAGTTCCAAAGTATGTCCGTATAAATTTGTTTTTAGAGCTTCATCAAGTGTTCATTTAAAACACAGTTTACTTAATTACGAGAACCTAAACTTTATAAATTGAATCTCAGACTCATTTGTTAACGATGTGAAATGTGACAAAAGAATTAAAAAATACAGACATGCAGAAGAAGAAAGATTGCTGCATTCTACAGAGCTTGGCAACTGGCCAGAAATGAACTAAAATGCTGCAGTAGCCAAGTCACTGAAGATGAGAAGAGTCAAGATCCGAAGAGTGTGCAAAGTTGACATTGTATTGCTTTGCATGTTCTGTAAAAAAGTTCTTGAACGTCCAAACTGGCGAATAACAATGGCCAAAGTCCCTTTTGAACATGAACTTCTGCCTTTCTCTTCACTTATCATTCCCTTTATAACCTTCAAACTTACTTCATTCAATTCAATCTCTTTCTTGAGCACAAGATGGGAAATGGAGCTCATGACGATTATGCTAAAAAGCAGGCACAACAACAACCCCATAACAAGTACAAGCTCAAGATTCTTTTGCTTGTTATTGTTACAAATCTTCTCACAATCTACATCTTCTATGGCTCTTCTTTGAATTTGAATTTAACTGGGCACAGCAACCATTTGTCTCTCCCTCTTTGGGACTCTCCCACTCTTGTGCATGAGCTCAACTCTACTAAATTTGAGTTTGCAGCTAGTCATTCCTTCATTGCTGAGTTGCAGCAGTAGCTTAACTCTACTAATTTGCTGGTAGAGACCTTGTTGATTGAGCTTACAAGAGAACATGAACGCTTGACTCAAAAGGTAGCGAGTGTGCCTAGTGGGAAGTTCAATACTGACTTGAGCATCAGATTATTTGATGAAGTGAGGGCTGCATTAGGCCCTCACAAGCTTCCCTTAGTAAAGTCTCCAACGACCGGATTGGATGAAGTAATCGCGCCGGTTGGGGCAGGCTGCTTCAAGTTTCAAGAGGAGTTGGTTCAATAAATGACATATAAGATTGGGGGGGAGTGTCCTATGGATGATGTATTTGCGCAGAGGCTTTTGCTTAAAGGGTGTGAACTGTTGCCTCGCCGGAGATGCCATCCAAAGTCCACCTCTGAATTATGTTGAGCCAATACCATTTCCAGAAAGTCTCAGGGCAAAAGAACTAGACACCAGCATCATTTGGGATCTTTACTCCTGTAAAGGCTACCAGTACATGATCGACAGAAACAATGCACTAGGGGTCTTTGATTGCAAAGATTGCTTTGACTTGCAAGGTAGAGAGAAGAATAGATGGCTCTTTGACAAAGGCCTGTGTTATGTTTAAACCCAACTCAAACCTAAGAGGATTCACTACCAAACACTTCCAGCACATCCAACACATGAATCAAACAGAGAAGAAAACAAGAACACAAAGATTTTTACTGTGGTTCGTTTATTCCAATGGAATAAACTACATTCACGTTGAGCTCCAAGTAATTTGAGGCTCATTGCACTATGAGGATCAAGAACGTACAACTTACAAGCCAATCAACACAAAAATACCCAAATCTCTCACTTGCATAATCAACCCGTAATCGCAACCCAAAGAGACTACCTATACACAATGTCTCTACCCGAAGAAAAGCCCTATTCTTCTACCCACAATTTACACCAATTGTGACTTGATTACAAGATTTGAAGAAAGCCTAAAAAACTCAAGAACCCTAACAAAGTCGAATAACACGAGAGAGGAAGTTGTTCTATTGTTCAGATTTCTCAATACTCAGTCTTATATAGTTTGACTTGTTGGACTGCTGAAGGCTGTTGGATCATGCTGGAATCAACGGTTGAGATTACCCACTTAAGTGAACTCCAAAACGGCAGCGTATAGACAGAATCAGAACGTCATCATTTAAAGCTTCACTCAATAGCCTGGACTATGGCATTGATTAAGTTTTGAGCATGAAACCTTGAGGGACAATCCAAATTGGACTTGATATAGGAGGAGGATCTGGTACATTTGCTGCTAGAATGAGAGAGAGAAATGTGACAATCATCACAACTTCAATGAATTTTGATGGTCCATTCAACAGCTTCATTGCTTCAAGAGGCTTGATTCCAATGTATGTTAGTGTTTTCCGGAGGCTTCCTTTCTTCGAAAACACACTGGATATATTACATTTGATGCACGTTCTAAGAAACTGGATCCCAGATGCCATGCTTGATTTCACACTCTTTGACATCTACAAAGTGTTGAGGCTAGGAGGGCTCTTCTGGCTTGATCATTTCTTTTGCTATGGATCACAGCTCAACGAAACTTACGCTCCAATGTTCAATAGCATTGGATTTAGGAAACTCAGATGGAATACTGGTATGAAGCTTGATCACAGCATTGACAAGAATGAATGGTACTTTTCAGCTCTGCTGGAGAAACCAATGACCTGAGGTATGAATTTGTATGCCATTTTTGTGCAAGATGAACACTCTTTGTGTAACAAAGGCAAGAGACTTCAATACACATCTTTAATGGTTTTTGTATAATGTATTATACAGTTTATTATGGTGCATGTTACAAATGAATTCATACATGTGTTCCCTCTTCTCATAGGAAATAAGAAATAGAGAAATGGAAAGTTCACGACAAAAGAATCGAAAAATGGAAGAGGAGAATTATATTTTCAATAATAGAATACATTCAATTTAATCAAAAGATGTTGAAATGTTGGCATATCAGGTGCCAAAAGACCAGGTTAAAATCAGTTGGAATAACTGCAGATTGTAGCAAACTTATTCATCAATCTACAGATATGATTTTGCTTGATTTTAGCTATAAACAACCCTTGATCTTTGCATCTAGCTTAGGCTAAATTGTTATCTCAAACATGTATAAATAGCTTGATGTGGATGAAGGAAATAAGAACAGTTTTTCAGCTTCAATTCATTTGCTTCACATTATATTAGCTTTGCCTATTGTCTACATTCAATCCATAAACACTCTTAACTTTAGCAAAGCAACGTTAACTACCCAGAAATTCCAACATCTGGTATCAGATCTCTATTGGTCTTACAAGACCTATCAAAACCAATAAAACACAAACATAACTTCACTCAAGCAAATGGCCAACAATAGTCTTTCCTTGGTGACACCTGAAATCTTCACTGGTGAGAAATACACCATTTGGTTAGTGAAGATGCAAATGTACTTAGAGGCTTTTGACCTTTGGGAAGTTGTAGCTGAAGATAGACATGTTCCTCCACTTCCCAAAGATCCAACTCTAGTTCAAATCAAAGCCAACCTAAGGAAAAGACCAAAAGATCCAGGGCAAAAACAGTAATCCAGAATTCAGTTTCTGATTCTATCTTTGGTAAGATAATGACATGTAGAACTGCAAAGCAAGCTCGGGATAAGCTTAAGATGGAGTATCAAGGCAATGAAAGAATAGACAAATGAAGGTGTTGAGTCTAAAAAGAGAATTTGAAGCTCTCATCCTGCAGGAAGATGAAACCATTACCAAGTATTCAGATAGAATCTCCTCGATAGCCAATCAAATCAAGCTGCTTGGAGAAGACTTGCCTGACAGCAAGATTGTAGAGAAGGTACTTATAACAATATCAAAAAGATTTGAATCAAAGATTTCTTCTTTAGAAGAAGCCAGAGATCTCTTAGCCATATCACTTGAAGAGTTGATTAGTGCACTTCAAATACAAGAAAGAAGCATGGCTTTCAGAC